TATATATATATATATATTAATTGTATTTATTCAATAATAACCTATATTAATCTATACTAATATATAAAGAGATACCTTTTTGATAACTACCTTGATCTCCACTTTTTTTTTATCATTATACCCTTTTATATTAAAAAATTAGAAAAAAAATATCAAATTTAAGAATTTGAAATTAATAAATCATTTTTACAGGAATTACTTTTGGTTTTCATTTTTACATGAATCATTTTATTATGTATATTTTTTAATAATTATTTTTTTATGAGTAACTTCTTATTTTTTTTTTATTTTTTTAATACAATACAGACACAAAATGACTTTTTCCTGCTAGTAATTAATAATAAATATTATTAAAAAAATTCCTTGTAGGTAATACTATGTCACTTAATTATATTAAAAATATTAAATTAAAATATAAGCTTTTATAAAATTTACACGAGCATCTCATGAATTAAATCTTCAATTAATACTAACATAAAGGACTCTTGAATTTTGTAGAAACCGAAAATGAAGAACATGACCAGGGGTCAACTTATTAATCCTTACTAATTTATATCATCCATTAGTAAGATAACATTCATTGAATCCTCTAACACATTCATTAAGACTATAACGATAATTTTTTCTTCTAATATTCATTTGTCTAATTAGTATAAATCTTTGACATTGTATGCACGAATATTGTGCAACTAAGACAAAAATTATATTATATTGGGATATTAGGAGTACCCGATTACTCTTTAAATGCAATATATAATTAATAATAAAAGACTATAAAATTAATTTCATTTTTTTTAAATATCCTACTGTTGCTTCTCAAATTAATTACATCATAAAGAATGATTTTTTCGTCACTAAAATGTTCACATGTTTAACTTTTCAACTGAGAAACTATACGTTTTTAATTAAGATAATGAAATATATATATTATACTATTTGAAAATTAAAATTTTTACCATGATTAAAAACTTAATATATATTCTACTATTTTAAAAGATAACGCGATATATATATATATATATATATATATATATATAT